CTCAGCTACCGTTCGCAGGGTCGGGAGGATTGCCGGGATGAGCGTCGCTCCCCTGACCGCTCTGGTGGCGAGCCCGCTCTCGCTCCCCCCGGCGGCCTCGGATGACTGGTGCTACCGACGCCGCTCCCCTCCCTTGCGCGTCGGCGTGGCCGCAGCTCCTCCCCTCCCTGCCTTCCCCGACCTCCGTCCCCGCGCCCCCAGGCTCAGCCGGCTGCCACCGCGGTCCACAAGTATGTGCCTCCACATGCGGCTGCCTCGGCTGTCTCGCCCCCCTTTGGGGCCGCTGGTGGTGGTCAGGCTAGGGGTCGTCAAGGCCCCAACAAGAAAAAGAAGCGTCGTGGCCAAGGCCAGGGCGCCCCCTCGCCGACATTCCCCGGCTCATCCGCGGCGCCGGGTCCGGTCTCCGATCTCCCCTGCCCTCCGACTGTGGTATCACGGGCCATCCGCAAATCAACTGTGTCAACCCTCTGTGTTGCTACATCTCCAAGGATCCGAGCCATCCCGCTCTTCTCTGCCCGGACCGGCCGGTGACCTCCGAGCTCATGATGTACGGCCATGGCATCGAGGGGTTGGTGTTCTTCCACCTCGAGGTTCATGACATTCCGCCACCGACGCCCTCCCTGCAGGCGATTGTCACAGTGGTGGATGCGGTGGCCTCCCCGGAGATGATCGAGGCTGAGCTCAACCACCTCTACCGGCGCCAATGGGACTGGCTCGTCACCCCTACATCCGGGAACATCTTCACTGTGATCTTCCCCAACGCTCTCAGCCACGAATATGCCACCCGCAATGGCCAGATCACCCTCGCCCTCAACCAGCTCGTCGTCGACATCACCGAGCCGTTCCTCGACCCGATGGCGGTGGTTGTCCTGTACACGGCTTGGATTCTTATCGCTGGTCTCCTGGACATCGCTAGGTCTGAAGCCGTCATCCACCAGCTGTCGCGGATCCTTGGCAAGATGGTGGTGGTGGACGAGCTCTCCCTCTGCAAGAGGAGGAGGTCCGGGTCAAGGTCAAATGCCTGGACTCCTCCAAGCTCCGCGCTACAGTCCGGGTCTTCTTCAACGACCAGGGCTTCGA